AACTGGTTTTAATTTGAATTTCTCTGCTGACAAATGATATTGAGCATCTTTTCATATAGTTATTTGATATTTGGATATCTTCCTATAAAGAGCCTATTCAGGCTCAGCACCTATAGCACAGTGGTTACAGCGCCAGCCACATACACCGAGGGTGGTGAGTTCGAACCTGGCCCAGGCTGGCTAAACAACTGCCACCAAAAAATAGCTGGGTGTTGTGGCAGGCACCTGTAGTCCTAGCTACTTGGGAGGTTGAGGCAAGAGAATCGCCTAATCCCAGGAGTTGGAGGTTGCTGTGAGCTGTGTGATGCCACGGCATTCTACCTAGGGCAATAGAGTGAGACTCTGTCGAAAGAAAGAAAGAAAGAAAGAAAGAAAGAAAGAAAGAAAGAAAGAGAGAGAGAGAGAAAGAAAGAAAGAAAGAAAGTAAGTGCTTGTTCACTTGGCCTGTTTCTACCGGATTGCCTTTTTTTTCTGGCTTATAATTAGTTATTATATATTTCAAATTCAAATTACTTATTGGATCTAAGTATAGTTAATCTTTCCCTTTTACTTTTTTAATGGTGTCTTTGGATAATAGAGGCTCTTAGTTGTTTTTTTTTTTTTTGAAACAGTCTTACTATGTCGCCCTTGGTAGGGTGCCATGGCGTCACAGCTCAGCAACCTCAAACTCCTGGACTTAAGTGACCCTCCTGCCTCAGCCTCCCAAGCAGATGGGACCACAGGCACCCATCACAACGCCCGGGTATGTTTTTTTTTTTTTTTTTTTGTAGTTATCATTGTTTGGCAGGCCCAGGCTGGGTTCAAACCTGCTAACCCCAGTGTATGTGGCTGGCGCCCTAGCCACCGAGCTACAGGCACTAAGCCAGAGGTTCTTAGTTTTAAAATAGCCCAGTTTATTTAAAAAATTTCTTCCTGGCTAATGTTCTTTGTGTCCTATTTAAGAAATCTTTGTTACCAAAGTCATGAAGGTGTTTTTCCAGTTCACCTCCCAGACAGTTTCTGCATCTCTCACCTGTGGGTTAGAAGTCTGCTGTCATCTCGCCTCTGTTTCCCTGCCCATAACAAACTGCGGGATAGAGCACAGGGTGAAAACTGCCGGGACTAGGGACAGAGTGGCCTGGGGAAAAGCCGAGTGTCACTGCTGGCCCTGAGCACTGAGGACAATGCCCTCCAGACACAGCGCACTGTCCAAGCCCCACGTCAGACTTATCAGCAATAAGAAAAAGGCAAGACAGAGGTGCAGTAAGCAGGACACGCTAAGATCGATCATGCAGTTAAAGATAAACTTGTTTTGTAACCTTTACTGTCTCTTTTGAAGCTTGCCGCTGAGCTGTATTTTCTCGCGCCTGGGATTTCAATAACAGGCAGTGAGTAGGCTGGAGGGGCCGCGCCCTGGGCTCAGCGTGTGGAGATGCCTGTTGGTTTGGCCTCCCTGAGTCCCTCAGTTCAATGCAAATGGGCTGAATAGGTGTTTGCCTGCTTTTTGGTTTTTCTCCCTCACTGAATTTCCGCACTTTACTTATGATATTTTTTAGTGATTTACCTTCATTTGTGTTTTTCTTGGGGGCTGCTGAGTTATTAGAGCCACAGTCTTCATGGTTTCATCATGTTTGAAATGCTTTGCTGTTATTTGAATTTTTTTTTCTGCCCTGCGCTCATCTTTCCTAGGACTCCACCTGCACAGATGTTGGGCTGCCTGCCGTCATCTCACAGATCAGGGTACTCCATTTTTTAAAAATCTTTTTTTCTGTAATTCATTCTGGGTAGTTTCTATTATTATTAATATATCTTCAGTATACAAAAAGATCAAAATAATGGTCTTATCTTCTACACTATCTCTCTGCTGTGAGTACCAGTCAATGAATTCTGCACATCAGATGTGATGAATTTTTTAATCTCTAAATCTTCTTGCATGTCTGATTATTTCTAATGGGACATTATGTTGTTATCATTGGATTTTGTTATATTCCTCTGAGGAGTGTCAGACTTTGTTTTAGCAAAGTTTTCTCTCCTCTCCTCTCCTCTTTTCTTCTCTTCTCTTTTTCTTTTCTTTCATTTTTTGGAGACAGAGTCTCACTTTGTTGCCCTCCTTAGAGTGCTAGGGTGTCATAGCTCACAGCAACCTCAAACTCTTGGGCTCAAGCGATCCTCTTGCCTCAGCCTCCCAAGTAGCTGGGACTACAGGTGCCTGCCACAACGCCTGGCTATTTTTAGAGATGGGGGTCTCACTCTGGCTCAGGCTGGTCTCAAACCTGTGAGCTCAGGCAATCCACCCACCTTGCCTTCCCAGAGTGCTGGGATTACAGGCGTGAGCCACCATGCCCAGCCCAAAATTACTTTTCTTTTTGAGGCTTACTTTTAAGATTTTCTGGAGGAGCAGAGGTGGGATAAGGGGCTGATTTCACCCTGCTTATACTCTAAGGACTCTGTCTAGTGTTCAGTGTGTCAGGTCTTTCTTGTCTAGCTCACAGGAGTACGACATTCCCAGGCCTATATCAAGTCCCGGGCGTGTCTAGCCTCCAGGAGCCTGGTGTTTACTCCCCAACCTCTGTAATTTCTTCTCGCAAGTGCAGAGGTGGGCTCTTGCCCATGTCTGGAGCATTCTCTGGACAGTGCCCTCCTCTCCCTCCTCTCCACTATTTTGCTCTGCAAACTCTGCTTCTGTGGCCTCCCAAACTCTTACCTGGGCCTCAACTCAACAGCCTCAGAACTCCCCCTGCGTTTTGCCCCAGGAGCTGCCTGTCCGTGAGGTGGCAGCTGTAGGTTCCCCTGATCTGTCCTTTCTCAGGGGCTGCAATCTTGTGCTTCCTGTTTTCCAATATCTGAAAACTGTTGTTTCCAGTATTTTGCCTGTTATCCCACAGTTTAAGGTGAGCGGGCACATTTGTCTGTATCTTTGTTATTCTCTCACAGTCAGAAACAGAAGCTACCTGTGTCATAATAAGCTCTTCCTCAAGATAAATAACATCAGCCTTCTCATTAAAATTTCATTTTGAACAGAATTAAAGTTTATTCTTCCTTTTGGGCAAAATTTGAATGTTTAGTCATCGTTTCTTTGATTTTTTTTTTTTTTTTTTGAGACAGAGCCTCAAGCTGTCCCCCTGGGTAGAGTGCCATGGCATTACAGCTCACAGCAAGCTCCAACTCCTGGGCTCAAGCGAGTCTCCTGCCACCGCCTCCCAAGTAGCTGGGACCACAGGCGCCCGCCACAACGCCCGGCTGTTTTTTGGTTGCAGCCGTCATTGTTGTTTGGCGGGTCCGGGCTGGGGATTCGAACCCGCCACCTTAGGTGTACGTGGCTGGCGCCTTAGCCAGTTGAGCTATAGGAGCCGAGCCCGTTTCTTTGATTTTTTTCTGAAAAATTTTCTTGGAAATAAAAAGCCATTCATTTATGCATGGAAAATGAGTTGGTTCTTTCTAAAGATCTTTATATATTTGTGGACAACAAACTATATTGGAGATGAATTCCTGTGTCTGCATATTTGCGTGCTTTTGTTTTTTCTGTAAATAACCCAAGACCCAAAGCAGGGTCTCAGCCACTGAGCTGTCACCTCTGTGCCCACCTAGGATCTCTCTCCCCAACTCCCAGCACATACCTGGCTCCCTAAGTGTGTTACTACACAGCCTGTTGCTCCACTGCCCCTGTGTCTGTGCCACTTTAGGCCACAACTAGTGTCCCTTTGCCCTCTCTGAGTCGTTCCCTAGAGCTAGGCCTGCACCCCCCCGCACTGGCCCTTGTTCAGGCTCCAACCCTGCCTCCTGTGTCCTCCTGCCCTGGCCTGGCCACTCTTCACACTTCTCCACAGCAGCCCCTGCAGCCTCATTCCCCCAGTCACATTCTCCTTGGGGAGATGCCTCAATGTGGAGTCCACTACACTGATCCCCTGTCCCCAGCCTGACCTCCGTGGACCCTGAGCTGAGACCTCACTGCCCAGTCACCTGCCCTCGCCCTCAGCAGGCAGTCACTGTGGGAGGCAGTCACCTCCCACAGCCCTCAGGGGAAGGCTCCCTGCCAGAGGGGTCTGCTACCCAGGCTTAGTCCCCCTCCTGCACAAATGTAGGCTGAGTAGTCCAGACCTGCTCCATCTTCACCGTGGTCTTGGTGGACCAGCAGCTCAGTCACTCCCTTCTGCTCCCAGCACACCTGCCTCAGAGGAGTCCCTGGGGGTGGGGGTGCAGCTGTGTCATGCATGGAGCAAGGAGGGACATCTGGTGATGTTCTTTCCAACACGGAGGGGAGGGGCAGGGACCAATACAGCCAGGAGGAAGACATGTAGGGCCTGCCTTGCGGACAGGAGAGAGCAGGGACACTGCTGTCCACCCACTGGTGCTGACTGCCCAGGAGCTACGGTCTGGCTTCAGGCCAGGACTCTAGGCTGATCAGACACAGGGTGGGAGATGGTAGGTCCAGGGGCAGAGGGGAAACAAGCTGCCCAGCTGTGCCTCCTACACTTCTGCCTGTGGGGCTGCCTCAGGCCAGCCCTAGCCCTCCCAGAGGTCTCCACAGGCCAGCTGAGAGCTGGCAGGGGACAAGCGGTATGAGTGACTCTGGGGCCACTGGCCCTAAGTGAGGTGTAAGGTGACATCACCAGGAGTAAGGGGCCCACAGAGTGCTCCTCTGAACTACAGTGGCAGAGAACTGGGGGTGACCAAGGGCTGTGTGTACAGCACCGTGCCCTGCTTGCTGCCGACAGTCCTCATAATATGGGTGCCCTGCCAAGTGCTGTGGCCACTGTGTGGCAGAAGTATTATAAAAAGACAACGCTTCCTCTTTTTCAGGAGCAAACATCTGGGAATTTCCAGGCTTTGCTTCCTCGCCTTGGCCGCCCCCTGGTGGCACATCCCTGAATGGCGACCTCCCAGCCGCAGTGTATGACCTGTTCTCAGCCTGGGAAGGGAGGCCAGTTGGCCAGCATCCAGCTGACCGGCCCTTCCAGCCCCCCCAAACACCATCAAAGTAGAAGCAAGGCCCAGGTGACAGACGCCAGAATGCTGCCATGTGATAGAAGAATGATTTATTAGAACAAATTCCATGACAAATCATATAAAATAACTATTTTCTGAAAGACATCCACAAGACCACCTGAGAACAAATGTGCAGTGAAACCTCCAAGAAGCCACATAAGCCACCGACCCCAAGTGGAAGGCGGGAAGGGCAGGGACAAGAACTCAACAAAGGGAGGAGCACAAATGTGTGGATAGAAGAAACGGGTGACAGCCGAGGCTGGGGTGGCGGTGGAGGAGGCTTGGGACAAAGAAGGATGGCCTGTGCTTCCAGCCAGGCTGTGAGGGCAACCGTGCGGGCATGCAGGGTGGGCACAGCCCAGGCCAGCACCTCCTCTGTGTGGACAGCAGGCTCTCGGGACCAGGTGGGGACACCCACCCACCACATAAACACTGGGCTGTAGGGGCACAGTCCACACACTGAACTCCACCAGCTGAGTGAATACTGGGCCACGCAGCTTTAGTTCCCCCCAGGCTCAGCTCTGCACAGATGCCAGGAGGGTGTAGAGCTTGCCTGGGGCCAGTCTGGTGGAGGTGGGACCCCGCAGCCCACCTGACCCCCAGCAGGCTCTTTGGCTTAGAGACCCCAGCAACATGGGCTGTAGCAGAGAGGCACTCTCTGCCCACCCGGCATGTTTCCAGCCGAGAGGATCCTGAGAAGACACGATTGTTCCTGGCCAATCCCTGCCCTTACCCTGCCAGGTGCTACCTGCTGCAGGTGCCCACTCAGGGCCCACAAGAGTATGGGGCCAGGCCAGATGGGGCATGCTGGCTAGGCACCCAGTGGGAGCTTCCAGCTATTTGCTTTACGCTCACTTTGGTCTAGCTCTCGCCTCCACCTGAAAGAACTGTCTCCAGCCTTGCTCCCAGACCCACCAGAAGCTTAGGGGCAGAGCCCAGGATACCTCTCTGGGACACACCCTGCAGGTCCTCAGTGTGGCCTGGAGATTTGCCTGGGTTGGCTGCAGGGTGTACACATCTCTCCACCTGTACACACCTGTGCGCACCAGCATTGAGCTGGGACAACCCCTACGCTCAATGGGTTTGGCAGTTGTGTTGGCACCAAAGGCCTGAACCAATGGGGTCCCTGCCCAAAACGTATCCATGGGCCACCAGCCTGCCCCAGGCTGCTGGGCTTGGGCACAGCTCCAGGGCTGGGGTCAGGCAAGAGCCACCAGGGCAAGTGCCTGGTCTTCCTCGAAAGTCCCAGGGACAGCTGAGACCCTCCTACCTCTGCATTTGGCACTGAATGACCCATAGCCTGCCTCACTTCCTCTATCTGGCCTCTGCCTAGCACACAAAGACAGGATAGGTCAGTGCAGGGAGCTGCCCAAGGAGGCTGGCTGGGCCCCTCCAACCCAGGGAGGCATCTCAGTTAGGCCTGGAGAGAGAGCTGCAATGGCACGAACAACTTTTCCTTTAAAGCTAAAAACAAAAACAACAGTGATGGAAAGGAGGCAGGTATGTGCCCCCGGGCTTGCCCTTGGCAGTGGCCACACCAGGAGCTGGGCCAGAGGCCTGTGTGGGCAGGGGTGGCCATAGAGGCTAGATAGGGTTGGGTGCTGGCAAGGAGCTGAGGAGGGCCTAGGCAAGAGCAATGCCTGCCATGGGGATATGGCACATGTGGGGATCTTCAGGGAAAACCGTTGTGACCGGGCAGGGGTGTTGAATGCTGTCTGGGAGGCCAGCCCGGCCAGTCCTGAGGCCTAGATCAGGAACCTCTCACCATCAGGGAGGAAGGCAGGGTCTGGGAGGCCAGGGGGTCCACAGCTGGCCCGCTGCGGGAAGCTCTTCAGGGGCAAGGTGGGCAGCAGGGTCTCCACAGAGGGGGGCGAGGATGGGCTGTGGGCAGCCACACGACCATTCCCGAGACCCGGCTGGGCCGAGCCCATGGAGCCCCTGTTTCCTGTGAGCAGGTCCAGGTTCCCACTGGGGTCCACAATGGCGTTGATAACTGGGGAAGGGGCCAGGCAGGGTCAGGCACCCATGAGCCGGGGCTACGCCCGGGGTCCTATGGCCGTCCCAAGCCCCAGGTCTGGGCTATACCCACCTTCCAGCTGCTTCTGTACCCGCCTCAGTTCCTTCAGGATAGAGCTGATTTCCTGGGAACACAGCAGGATGGGGTGGAGCAGGTCACCAAGGGCTTGGACCTACTGGGCAAAGCCAGGGTGGTGGGTGGGGACCAGGGCCCCTGCTCACCTTGTTGGATGTCTTCAGGATGGGCACCTCATTCTCAGCATTTATTCTGGCTTCCAGGTCCTCCCAGGCCCGCCCCGTGTTCTGGAAGAGGATCCTGTCAGGGAAGGGGTTGGTAGTACTAAAGGTGAGGACGGTGACAGCAGAACTGAGGCAGGACAGCATCCCAGATCTCTCCCTGCCACCCTCTTCTAGGCCTAAGGGGGAAACCAAGGCCTGGCTGGAAGCTGGGCTGGCCAGCACCACAGTCCCGTCTGTGTGTCCAGTACCAAGTGTGGGGACACAGAGCCCAGGACAAGGGCTGGAGGGAGGACAGCAGGCAGGAAGCTCTAGAGGCACTGGCTTCCCTGAGACCAGGCCTGCTTGCTGAGGGCTATGGGCACTAGGCTACCGGCCCTTGTGTGGACAGCAGCTGTCAGGTTCCAGCTCACCAGCACGTGCTCACATCTGTGTCCGAGGGAACTGGGGCATCTACTGGGCAGGGGCTCAAACTCACTTCATCTTCTCTGCGAGGTGCTCAGTGTTCTCGCGGATGGCCTGGGACAGCTGTGACACCGGGTTCAGCATCAGGTTATCAAAGATCACCTATGAAAGGCTGAGTCAGCAGGCCCTGGAGCCTTCAGGAAGGCCCAGCCCTTCCCAGTCCCAACAGCAGGCTCTGAGTGCAGAGGGTGGGGTCCCTGCCTCCTCTCGATTCCGCGGTCTCGTCTTGTTGGCCAGGGCATCCTCACAGCTATCGTTCATGTTCTGGTCCAAGTCCCGTGAGCTCAGGGAACCAGGCGGCACCTTCTGGAAGTTGAGGCTGGCCTCAGGGATGCGCTGCACCAGCTGTGGAGGGAGGGGGTTGGCATTGGCCTGGCCGGTGGGGGCTGCTGTGGACAGATGGGCAACCTGCCTGCCCCTGACCACGGGCTCTCCAGGTGGCCCTAGAGGGAATGTAGGGTGAGGCCCTGTGGGGTATGCAGGCTGCCTGAGGGCTCTGTGGGCTGGCGAGTACTCCCCTGGTGTGGATGCCATGGGGACGCTGGGGTTCTGGCTGGCTCTAGCATGGGGGCTCCCAAAGCCCAGAGCTCACCTCCTCTCGAGCAGAGATGGTTGAGGCAGGGGTGCTGGGCATGTTGCTGAGGGAGGGGCTGCGGGCGGGCCCTGGCAAGCCCAGCGTGTCACTGTCCCCAGCCACGTCATGGATCTCTCGGGCCAGGATGGCCACATCCTTCACCAGTGTCTGGCTCAACCTGCAGCGCCAGGAAAGAAGGCAAGTCCCATGGGGTCGGCTTGGGCCAGGCCCCAGCACAGAGGAAGCTGGAGCTGCTGGAGCTCGATGGGTCCCCTCCCTGCCACCAGGCCCAGCTCTGCTACTGGGAGGCAGTTACCCTGGAGGCGGGCAGGGGCTACACTACAGTTCCCAGGCCTGGCCCAGTACGCTGGTCCAGCCAGACTCCACAGCACAGAGGGAACACAGGGGCTGGCATGGCCTCGCCAGGAGGCTCAACTCCTCCAAGCCGCAGAAGATGATGGGGGCTGGGACAGAGTCCTAAGAGACAGGCAGGCAGATACCCAGATGCCTGAGGGCTCTTAGGGAGCCATGCTGCCACCTCCTCCCCAGCCAGCAGGGTTGGCATCACAGTTGCCCAGCCTGCAGGATGTGGACACAACTCAGCCGTGGAACATGTGGGCACCCACCAGCACCCAGGTCTGTAGGCAGGGAAATGGAGGCAGAGGTAGGGTGGGCTGCAGCCACAGTAATCAGAACCTGAGCCCCTGACCTGAGGGTCACAACTGAGCAGCTCCAGACAGGCCAGACACTTCCCCATAGGCAGAGGCCGAGGGAGGGCTGAGCCTCCCGCCTGGGTCACTTGGGAACCCCTCTGGCTGCAACCTGGGCAAGACAGGCCTCAACCCTGTCGAGAGTAAGACATCTCCCAGGCAGGTGCCTGGGCAGTCACAGAAGATGAAATGCCCACTGGGAACAAGAGAAGAGCTCCCAGCCTGGTCAATGGCCTCACAGTGCCCTCAGCCAAGAGGCACTAACTAGCACATGGATAGGGAATCCACTGCATACCTTGCAATCTCCGCAATCTCTGCCGTCTGCACGATGAAACCATAGTGGTCAGACTCCTCCTCGTCATCTGTGTCCCGGGGCGCAGGGGCCCGGGACTGCGCCCGGCTAGAGCTGCCAGCCCTCGGGGTCTGCGTGGCTGTTGGGGCATGGGGGCGTGTGTGTTTGGGGGAGCCGTGGTGGGAGCCGCACTCCTCCTCAGAGGTGGACGTGTAATCCGAGCCCTGCTGCCGGCGGCGTGTGTCTTGGGTGAGGGAATTGGTTTCAGAAGCAAGAACAGAACAAAGCTGTGCTCAGCACCCCAGGCGGCCCCAGGGTTCCTCTGGGTGAGGGGCCAGCACTGCAGACTGTGAGGCTTCTTGGCTGGCGCACCTACGCCCAGAAGCCCTTTAGCTGAAGCACCAAGATCTACTGAGCCTGGAGCCCGAGAGGCACATGCAAGGGGCTGCCTGGTACTCCCAGGCCAGTGGCAGAGCCCCAGCCAGCCTGGGCCTGCCTAGGACACAGGGCCTTGGTGACAAAGAGGGTGGCACACTTCACTGAGCTGAATGGCCACTGGGTAGGGGTGTTTTGCTGGGGTACAGCAAAAACAGAGAACATCCCCACATATGCCAGATGTGGTGCCAGGGGCTCAAGATGGCCCTTGCAGCTCTTGGACCCACGTTCAGTGCAGCCCTGCTAGGCAGAGTCCTAGGGCCCTTGCCCACCTTACTAAGCCCCAAGCCCCAAGCCACAGTGAGCCATGCTGGGTAGGGTGCCTGCACAGGGGGTACATTGTCCACACACAGCCACGGGGCAGGAGCATCAGGTGCCCACCAAGCAGGGGAGGGTCTTCGGCCCATGGAACCTAGTAGCCATTGCTTGCCACAGACCCCTCCTCAGCTTTCAGCTCTGTGGGGTAAGGGATCTTGCCTGGTGGGCACAGGCAGAGAGGGGCCATGGATGGTGCTGGGCATGGGAGAAAGGCAGGTAGGCCAGGGTACGTGGACAGGAGGCAGGAGTGGTCTAACAGCACCTCGGCCTCAAATTAATCCACTTGCAGAACTGCAAGCTCCCTCAGTGAGGTGGGGCAGCCCAGCTATGCAGATGCAGATGTCCAGCCACTCAGGCAGGAGGCTAGCTCCAGCATCCCCCTCACTGTGCACGTGGACCTTGGAGTGGCAGGATGAGGCTCTGCTCATGGAAAGATGACATGACCCTTCCCCAGTGGGCTCACAGGGTATCAGAGTATCTTGCCTCCCTGAGAGTGTACCCAGTGCCCTTCACTGAACCTCATGGCCACTGGCCAGGGGACAGAGGACCATGCAAGAACCTTCTTCAGTTCCTGTGCCCCACCGCAGAAGGCTCGGAGCCCACGACTCCCTCCCAAGCTACCAAGGGTCCCAGCCTGGCGCACAGGAACAGAGCAGGCCCCTCCTGGGGGGATGGAAGGAGCCCTTTATGCTGGAAATAGTCAATGTCTTTCAGCCCACATGAGGAGCTCACAAGCCCTGCCAGTGCACACAAACGTGCTTGCCCAAATCTGGCAACATCCTCCCCAGCTATGGGCATAGGGGCTGGTGCCCAGGAAGCTGCACAGACCACCACTGTCCCTAACCTGAGCCCCGGCCTCCCGCCCACTCCCACACTCACTGGAAGTGTATCTGGCGCTGCCTGAGCGGGCCCTGCTGAAGGGCTGGCGGGGGCCGGTGGTGGTGGCTGTGGCAGCAGCCTTCCTCGCAGCGGCCCGAGCTTCGGCCATTGTGGGCTTGCGGCTGGCACAATACAACTCAGCACTGCGGCCAGAGAAGCTAGTGCGGGTAGAGGCTGCCTCGGGGTCACTGGGCCCTGTGAAGGAGCCGGCCCGCTTCCGGGGCATGGCCAGGATGTCCAGACGTGACAACTTCTTGGTCTGCTCAGTGGCTGGCCGGCCTGCCGGCTCAGGGTTGGCCGGAGCCCCCCGTTCACCATCCACAGCCTCAGAGTCTGAGGTATCCCCCAGGCGGGCCCGCCTCAGCCGAGAGGCCCGTGTGGGCCGTGGGGTGGACAGGCTGTTGGAGCGGGTCAGAGTCTGCTGCCCCTTCTGGGTGCCCACTGAGTTGCGGCTCTGCTCCTCCCGGGCAGCTGGGGACGGCGGGGGCACCACAGGTTTCCGGCGAGGCCCTGGCCTCCCTGCCCCAGTGGTGTTAGAGGTATCGTGGTTGGAGGCAATCATATCTGAGCTCGGAGAGGGGCTAGGTCTGGAGTCACACTCCTCTTCAGGCCAATCCATGGACCCCCGGGACCCCTGGCCACGCCGCACAGCGGGGCGTCGCACTGGCTCTCCACGGCCTGTGTCTGTAGGGCCCAGCGGGCGATGCTGCTTGTCTGGGACCCGCTCTCGAGTACAGCCTAGGATGGCACTTCCTGGGTCCCGTGCTCCTGGTGGGGACAGCATCTTCTGTGGACCCAAGGGCTGAGGGGCTGTTTGGCTTGGTCCATTCTTGCCACTGAGCAGACTGACAGTACTGCCCGTGTCCACGTCCGAGTCCCCAGATAGGGAGTCCTCAGGTGGCCTGGGGGTGCTGCCCCCCTCACACTCTGCTTCTGGGGACTTGGAGAGCAGCCGGGCCTCCAGGGCCGCCAGAGCAGTCTCGGTCTCCTTCAAGATCAGGTGGGTGTCCTGGGAGTGGAAGTCCATGCGTGCAGCCCGGGCCGCAGCCAGGTCCTGCAGAAGGGGGTGGCTAGAGATGTGCGGGGGCTTCCCGGGTGCCGGGGGCCCACTGGCCGGCTCCTTGGTGAAGCTCTCTTGCCTGATGAAGCCCAGGGCCTCCTTGGGCAGGGCCGGGCTGGGGCCATCGGGCTCCGGGGACCTCCCAGTCTGCAGCTGAATGACCATCCTCCCACTGGTGCTGACATACACGCCGTCCCGCACCAGGGAGCTGGGCTGGGCTGCCTGTCCTGGCCCCTCCACCTCCCGTGGAGCCACACGCGGTTTCCTGGACAGGGCGACCTCCCCGTTCTGGTCCCCGATGTAAAAAGATGTGGGTGCCAGCTCCCCAGGGGTCCTTGGTGAGCACTGACCCCTGCTCCATGCTGTCCCTTCCTGGGGGCTCCTTAGTTTCTCTGGCTGCTCTGCCCCCAGTTCAGGGCCCCGGCCTCCATCTGACCCACTGGCATCACTGAGGCTGTCAGGATCCAAGTCCTCCCGGCCTAAGAGGTGGCTTGCCTGCTCAATGCCCAGCTCTGGTGGCCCAAGCCCACTCCTCCTGGTGGCTTCAGGGCCCGCAGGGCTACCTGCCCTGTCACTGGGTAGCTGAGGGAGCCGTCGGCGCGTGCGCACAGGCAGGGCCCCCTCGGCCTCCTCAGCTCGGGGCCCCACGCTGTCTTCTGCAAAACACAAGGACAGATGATTAGAGGAGCTGCGGGAGCCCTGATCTGCCCCAGCATGGGAAAAGGCCATCTATGTCCATGGTCAGTGACCTATGGCCACCCGGGCCCAGCCCCGACCCTCCACAACGATACTGAAGCCACTTACCTGCAGGGCCTGGGTCTGAGTAGCCATCGGCTAGGCTGGCCCAGCGGGACACCCACCTCTGAGCTCCTGGGGAGCCTGGCGCCTGGAGGCCCTGCAGAGGACAGGGTGGCATGTGTCTGCAGCAGAGCCCAAGGAGGGCACCAAGAAACAGGAGGCAGCACGGGCAGCTGCCTTAACCCTGGCCCCACCCACGCCAACTGGGGCTTGGTGCATGTGCCCTGGTAGGGGCAACCAGGACGTCCTCGTCACTTGCCTGGGCCTGTGTGCCCCAATATGACCCCTGCTGGGCCTGCTCTGCCACAGGGGCACCCAGTTCCGTTCAGTGTCTCAGGGCTCACTCAGGGTCAGTGGCTGGGGTTTCCACCCTGACCCCTGACCCGGGGGAGGGGAGCAGCACACGTCCAGGCACCCAACTCAACTCTGGGCTCATACCTGGCCCCAAGTCCTCCATGCCTACCAAGTGAGTGTGACCCCTAGAGAAAGGTCCAGTGCAGCCTCACCTGAGCCAGTTGACCTCAGGCCCCAGCCCAGACACTGCCCTCTTCCCACCCTGGCCCCTAATTGGGGAAACCATCTGGGCTTGTACCTGGTGCTCCACCTGGGGGGCTATACCCAACGACCGGGAGGCAAACCCCTGCAGCGGCACCACGCGCTGGGCCATGCCCCCATCGCCAGAATCATCTTTGTCCCCTCTGATGACTGGACGGAAAGTGGCTGAAGGCGCCCTGGAGAGTTCAGGGGACTCCAACACCCCAAAGACCTGTCAGGAGGAGATGGCCCCAGGGACTGAGGGTCAGAGGGATCCCCCTCTCCACCTTCTACCCAGACATAGGCCCATCCACAGGCCACCAGGAGGGCTGGTAACCTGGTTGGCCAGAGTGGCCAGCATAGCAGCCCCTCTAGCCTCCTCCTGCCCAGATGGGCCAGACTGAGGAGCCAGGCCTGGGCCCCAACATCACTGCAGCCCTCAAGTGCCACCAGCCCTGTACCCCAGTGTGGGCTCCAGCCCCTGCCTAGCACCTGGTCAATCATCTTCCTAGCCTCCTCCACCTCCTTGTCCTGCGCGTCTGTCTCAATAGTGTAGGTCCCTGCATCACTGAGGCTGTCATCCTCCTCCTGTTTGCGTGCCTTGGTCAGCTGAGGGTCGGCGGGGGTTGGGGGTGGAGTTGGAGGGGCTATGGGGCTGGCCACACGAGGCGTTAGGGGTGTAGAGGATGCTGGAGGTGCCTTTTCAGGGCTGGGCCGGGTAGCCGGGGAGCTGTCACGCACACACTGGGCCATGAAGTCCTGGGCCAGGCGAGAGCGGCGTCCCACACTGCCAAAGGGGCGGGCAGAGGCCCGGGCAGCAGGCGAGGGGCTAGCCAGCCGCTCCTCTGTCTTCTCTCGCTTGAGAGAGCCAGCCCTCTGTGGTCCTGAGCTGGCACCTGCTGCCCGGGCTGGGGTGGAAGCGCCAGCTCGGTCCCTCTCAGCCAGCCCTGGGCCTCGGCGCTTGTCAGCCTTGAGGTCCCCAGATGGGACGTGTGTGAAGGACTGGGAGCGCTTCTTTCGGGGTGTGTCCTCATCAAAGAACTCGATGACGAAAGCCTGCTGGTTGTGCAGCAGCTCCTGGGGGTCCCGTTTGATTTGCCTCTGCAGCCGCACCTGTTCCCCGCCGGACTCTGGGGGCACCCCAGCTGTCCCAGCTGCCTTAGCCAGGGGGTCCTCTGAGTCACTTTGTGTACCATCCTCGTGCTTGTGGCCTGGGGGACAGGAGAGACCCCAATATATAGCACCAGTCTCAGGCAGTCTCCTCACCACATGCCCAAGGTACGTCTCACATGTGACTGGGGACAGAGCACGCCCCCCCAAAAAGAGCCTGCACATGCAGCTGAGATATGCAACAGGAAGGCACTGGATATGGCCCCCTGGCTAGGAGAGTGGTTCTTAGGTGATTAACAGAAAAACATAAAGCAGCCACACTGGCCGCAAGTGTGAGGGCACAGCTGGCAGATGCCTACCACAGCTCCTGGATTGGCATGGCACTCACCCTTGAGGGTGCGAGTGTGGATGGGCAGGTCACTCTTGGTGCTGTGGCGGTCATCCCCTGGGCCAGCCCGGCACAGCAAGCTTGGGTCATTCTGCACCAACCAGTCAGCTACCTTGGTCTCAGCTGAGACCATCTCCACAGGAGTGGCCTCCCTGCCCGGGAGTCGCCGCTGGCGCAGGGAGAACTTGGTGATGTGATCCTTGATCTTCACCTTGCCAGGGCTGCAGTCGTCAAACTCAATGGTGAAAGAGGCGTGGCTCTGCACCACTGGGGCTGCCCCTCCCATACCCACATCCTCAGTGGGGGGCCGTGGTGGCTGAGGGGCCTCCTCTGTGGGGATCTCAAAGTAGCTGGACTCCCTCCTGATCGAGCATCCCTGAGGCTCAACAGGGGCACGGAGGCCGTCCAGGTCCCCATTCTGCCGTGCTGGCTCCTTGGGACGCTCTGGCATGGGGAGATATCCTCAGACAAGGCCCGGACAGCCACCTTCCACCTCCCTCCTCCACTGGGACCATCTACTCCACCAAGGGGCATGGAGGCTCCATCTCCCATGGAGCAGGCACCTCAAGGCCAGGCCATGCCCTTACCCATGCTCTGCCCTCTGGGAACCCTGGGGGTCTCAAGAGCCTGGTCTCCAACACCAACCTGGGCAGGGCTCCTCCTGGCGAGGGTCCTCAGGTGGTGTGCTGCCATCGTCCTCGCCCCACCAGGAAGGCTGCCCGTACAGGGGTGTGCGGTAAGCTGCTGCCTCTGAGGATGGAGAGAGAGTTCACACCCTGGGCCCTGCAGCCCCCATCATGCATGGGAGGGGACACCTGGCACTCACGACAGGCTGGGCCCTGGGCAGGGCCTGGGATCACCTCCCAGCTCAGATCTGAAATAGCCTGCACCCCAGCTAGCTGCAAATCATTTGAGACCAGTTTCCAAATCAGTGGGGTGTAACAATTGCCTTAAGTCCACCTGCCTTGGCCCCACCTGGGCCTCTTTGTGCCAGGGAGCTTCCTCTCTGAAGGGCCACTGTCCTTGGCTGCCTCACTCTAGGGCAGGCAATCACACTGTGGTGGGCAATTTCAGCCCTACCCTGGCCCTCTGTCCCCAGAGCCTGCCCAAAAGAAGGGAAGGAGGCCAGTGAAGTCATTACTGGGATCATCCTCTGACCCCCAAAGCTCTGTAAATTGTTTAGATCACAAATGGGTGGCCAGAGTGTGGTGGGCGCACATAATCTGAGTGGCCCATATCACACTTGGTTTTTATTTTGATGTTTAAATCACTGGCCAGAGGTTGAAAATCATATTTCACATGAAATCTGGTTTCCAGCTCCTGTTGAGCTTCCAGATGGCAACAGCAGTGTCCAGTGCCCCCAGACCAGCACTGGCACCAGTGCACACAAGCCTCTTCCCTGCCTGTGAGTTCACTATATCACCACCAGAGCCTGTGGGCAACTGAGTTGTGGCAGTCTGTGGCCCCCAGCCACCCACCACCAGGCAGTCCCTAGTCAGGTAGCATGTGTCCTCCCTGAGGACCTCATCCTGACCCTGTGCCATATCCAAGTGCTGGTGAGGAGGGGTGTCTGCCACTGGGCAGCCCCACTTAGCTGTGAGTCCTATATCCCTCCTTTGCCCCCCAATATTCTGCCTCTGCTCTGCTGAGGCTGAAGAGCCAGTCTTCCCAGCTGGCTATACCAGCCATAACCTCGGGGACAGCTCCCAGCTGGCCATCACCAGCTGTGTGTTTTACTGCCTGGACACTGACAGGTGCCCTGGGGAGCTTGGGTAACTTCCTGGAAGGCTTCCCAGTCCCCAGCCTGTGCAGTGTCCCACTCTGGGTGAATGTGTATCCCAACCAAATGCCAGAAGTACGTGGCTACACACCATGGACAGCAAAGCTGGCCGTGGAAACATAGCAGAGGTGGGGCAGAGGCTGGGGGAGGCAGAGGGACCTCTCCTGAGGGAGCAGAGTCTGATCCCTGGACACGCCTCCTCTTACTCAGAATTCAAGACATGCACTTGAGTCTCAGGCTTGTGTCCTACACCCCATCCCCCTCCATACGCAGCCAGGTGCTCTCTCCTTGCTGCCATCCAGATGTGTGCAGCAGCTACTTTCCCATCAGATTGCTGCCCACACAGCACAGTGGTCAGAAGGCACAGGTCAGGTCTCACCCCGCTCCCACCCACCTTAGTGGTGCACATGGGCACAGGTAGGTAAGTACAGGGGTGAGGGGTCCAGGCATGAAGGAAGAGTGCACAGGGGTGAGGGGTGTGGGTGTGCAGGAAAGGAACACATGGAGTGAGAGGTGCAAGTGTGCAGGGAAGGAGTACACAGGGGTGAGGGGTGCAGGTGTGCAGGGGAGGTGTGCACCAGGGTGCAGGCAGGCAGGGAAAGAATGCACAGGGGTAAAGGGTGTGGGGGTACAGGGAAGGAGAACACAGGGGTGAGGGGGGCGGGCATGCAGGGGAGGTGTGCACAGGGATGAGGGGTGCGGGTGTGCAGGAAAGGAACACATGGAGTGAGAGGTGCAGGTGTGCAGGGAAGGAGTACACAGGGGTGAGGGGTGCAGGCGTGCAGGGGAGGTGTGCACAGAGGTGCAGGCAGGCAGGGAAAGAATGCACAGGGGAGAAGGGTGTGGGGGTACAGGGAAGAACACAGGGGTGAGGGGGGTGGGTGTGCAGGGGAGGTATGCACAGGGGTGAGGGGTGCAGGTGTGCAGGGGAGGTGTGCACAGGGATGAGGGGTGCAGGTGTGCAGGGGAGGTGTGCACAGGGGTGAGGGGGGCGGGGGTG